TACTGACCCCCTACTGACCCCCTACGGACCCCCTTGCTGACCCCCACTGACCCCTACTAAGCCTCTTACTGACCCGTGCTGACCCTCTTACTGACCCGTACTGACCCCCTTACAGACAGTCTACTGAGCCCCTATAAAATCCATGGTAAAAGAAAATTTAAAAGAGCCATAGACTAATAACGGGACCGGTTCAAGTTTATTAACAAATTGATCTTACCCGAAATTTCCAAGATGGCAAACGCGTTGCGGATTTGTCACTCTCTTCTCCTTTGATTGTAAGTGCAGGTTTCTTTGTAGAAAATCAGGCACAGAATAAGTTGGAAATAGCATCAAGTATGGTAATTAATGAATACGAGTGAAATTAAGGATTTACACTTCGAGTGATATTGAAAAATTCTCTCAAAATTACATGAGCCTTTAGGCGAGTGCAATTTGAAAAAATTGTCAAATACAGGGACAATGGCAATTTTTCTGCTAGATGCAGTTTAAAGCTATGTTGATTTTGGAACCACGTGTTGTTGTTTTCAGTCTTCAGGCAATGATACTGGGTTATCGAGGTTGTTTTACCATTTACATGGAGAAACCGTTTCGTCAACGGTTTGTGCAAATGATAAGCAGAAATGCCTGATGGCAATTGCAAGTTCCGTTCGACTTGACCATTTACCAATTACTCAGAAACCTCTCAATTTACCAAACGAGGCTAGGACGAGTTTAACCTGATCATACATTCCAAGATGGCGATGAAAAATTGCAAATGGTAAGCCCATTTCAGGTGGAAATTTTGGACTACCTTTCAAGACGTTTCGTTAATATAGAAAATTTCCCGGGTGTTCGCGCAAAAATTTTCTCACCGTTCACAGTCTGACTGAAATTTGAGGAATTTTTTTGGGTAAATGGTAAGCAACCCGAACCTCACATTCAGATGTAATGATCAAAAAGAAGTAAGCATCTTCTCTCTATTAAAAGCCCTACCTTGAGTTACCAAATGTAAATTAGTAGCCCGAGTGCTGAATCACATCATCATGTTACTTAACACGTAATGAATTATGGCTAATTTTATAAATATAAAATTTTTACACACGATCTTGTTCACCTTTAGCATGACCCAGACACATGTAAATGTTCACCAGGCGGAAGTGATGGCAACTTTGTCATGTATTCACGAGCAAGCGACGGACATGAACCCAACAACTTCCTGTTTTCTCCATGTAGCAAACAGGAAATATCGCCCGTAATCTCTTCGAAAGGACAGGAGTGTTTCATTGGTCAGTTTGCCCATATCACTAGTCTCCTTCGCAGCCATTATTACGGTCGTCACGCAACGCTTCAGGGGAGAAGTGTTGCGTGACGACCAAAAAAAGGCTGCGAAGGAGACTAACATATCACGCCCTTGTCTCGATACCTTATGTGATAAACTGTGCCCCTTGACACATTGAGAAGCGGAAAAACTCCTTGCAAGGTAAGTAAGAAAATATTACAACCCAAACGAAAGCAGAAAATATAGTGAACCAATTAAAACTAAAAGAAGCGAGGGAAAACGTGTGCGAGCAAGTCGCACCTGGCATTGTTTATTGGCTGAAAAAGTGACGACAGTGTAAAAACAATCAGTATACATAAGAAAGCTACACGAAAATACTCGAGCTACATATGAATTACTTTTGACAATCAAGTGAGAACCGATTTTGTTTATTACAAAATGAAATGGTCCATCCAGGTCTTGCCACGTTATTACTCTAGATCTGGGGCATAACGAGTGACGCAACACAAGTACCGTAAAAAAATTCTGAAACACCTTGTCATCTTTCCGAACAAATCTGCTTCTATGCTCCCTTTGGCAGCTCATAGCAGTGGCTCGTACTGCGGAAACAAGATCGTGGAGGAGGGTGAGGACTGTGATTGTGGAAGGCCAGAGGAATGCCTGGAGGTAGACAAGTGCTGTGTGGCGAGAGATGATGCCTTGAACATACCCGGATGTACGGTCAAGCAAGGAGAGCAATGCAGGTGTGTGTCACCCCGTATGTATAACTTTATAACGAGCAGCTTGCAAATCATCATCATCGTCATCATCATCATCATCATCATAACTTTGTACACTATTATTACAATGTATTGGGTCTGTACAGTTCTTCTTCAAATCCTGGGTAGCATCTGAACTGCCAGACCGTAAAGCAGTTTAACAAAAAGCCAACCTGATATGTTGCTTTGCGTATGGGCCCTGCACCTGCAGTACAGCGCCAGTCAAAACTGAGCTGTCCTACAGAAACGACACGATAACAGTCTTTTTCTTCAAAGCTAGCAAAAACTTAAGATTATGCTAAGTTGCTTTGACCTTTTCTTATGCTTAACTCAAGAATTCTGGGTTTAATTTGCCAATTAATAGCATATTTTGTTCAAAACAACACAACTATTATCCTATCTGGCGACAGCGATCGAAGAGCGGGTTGCCAAACGCTGGGAACCTAAGTTTGAAACCAAAATAATAATTCAAAAATTCAAAATTTTCATTTTTTCAATCTGGTATGGTTTTGGGAGTTATAAACCCTTTTTCTTGAATGTTTAATGCCATCTCCAGTAAGAAAAGTTGGCCGACTTCAATTTACCTTTCCAGCTAAGATGTATTTTATGTCAGGACAGTACATTTTTCCCCGCCTGCTTAAGGGGGTCTTACCTTAAAAATAAGTTATAATTTTTATAAAACAACTTTGTGGGACAGTTTTGGTACACGTTATAGGACTTCGCAGTCTGACTCTACAAAATGAGCTTTTCCAGGTCACATGCCCCGATAGTTAATGAATAACTAGCTCCTAAGTGTTAAAAAGTGGTGTTGACCATTCACACGATAACGTACAAATGAATGGTTCGAGATAATTAGGTAGCTAGGTAACTTTATTTAGACTCGTACACGTAGGGAGTGGTTGCCCAATCTCCCGAGCCAGGGGCTCATGATAGAAACTATTTACATTACTACATCATTGTACTTACAATTACTATATATATTAATAAAACGGAAATTTGCTAAGATAAGTTTAAGCAATAGAGCACTTTTTCCGTGTTTACATAGCCTCATCTAAACACAAGGAGGGTTCGGAGAATTCGAGACAGTTATGCAAAACCGAGACGTGGTCGAGGGTTTGCATAACTTTCGAGAATTCTCTCAACCCCCGAGTGTTTAGATGAGGCTATGTAAACACGAAAAAAGTGCTCTATTGCTTTTATAAAATAATTCTCAAACATACACGTGAATCTAAAGCGTCACAACTGTGTTTACATACTTCCATCTAAACACACCTATCAACCAATGAGAGCGCGCGTAGTAGCTCAGTTATTTCATAAACAGAATTAAAATATCAAATATTCCTAAAAGCAACTAGTTTTAATATTAAAAATTGGAGTTAGTATATACAGTTCATACACTGGCACCCTGCAAACTCCACACCATTCAAACGAGAACGAACTTGTGCCAAAGGGGTCAAGGATTTGTTGATAGCTGGTAACTGGTTACACATGTGGGCAATCTTATACAGAAAGGAGTTGTGCATGACAAGGCTGTTATATGGTGGTAGTACGACATTTAAGCCACTACCTCGTAAATTATCGAGAAGCATGGAATTACGTTCATTATGTCCATAAGCAAGTTGTCCAAGGGACAAACCTCAGAAAACAGTGTTTTGAGGGTTTTTTACTCGTGAGAATGGGAGAAAGGTTAAACGACTTAGGTAATTGTGTCCTTTACTATTCTCGAAAATTTGACAACATTCAGTTGAAACCCAATGGAGATATCGTGTGCAAAATATTGGTGACCTGTCTATCCGTGGATTTGGTCTTTTTGAGAAAATTATATAAGGCTTTAAAGTTTTACTTCGGTCTCAAATTAGCCCTGTGAATGGANATAAAATCCATGGTAAAAGAAAATTTAAAAGAGCCATAGACTAATAACGGGACCGGTTCAAGTTTATTAACAAATTGATCTTACCCGAAATTTCCAAGATGGCAAACGCGTTGCGGATTTGTCACTCTCTTCTCCTTTGATTGTAAGTGCAGGTTTCTTTGTAGAAAATCAGGCACAGAATAAGTTGGAAATAGCATCAAGTATGGTAATTAATGAATACGAGTGAAATTAAGGATTTACACTTCGAGTGATATTGAAAAATTCTCTCAAAATTACATGAGCCTTTAGGCGAGTGCAATTTGAAAAAATTGTCAAATACAGGGACAATGGCAATTTTTCTGCTAGATGCAGTTTAAAGCTATGTTGATTTTGGAACCACGTGTTGTTGTTTTCAGTCTTCAGGCAATGATACTGGGTTATCGAGGTTGTTTTACCATTTACATGGAGAAACCGTTTCGTCAACGGTTTGTGCAAATGATAAGCAGAAATGCCTGATGGCAATTGCAAGTTCCGTTCGACTTGACCATTTACCAATTACTCAGAAACCTCTCAATTTACCAAACGAGGCTAGGACGAGTTTAACCTGATCATACATTCCAAGATGGCGATGAAAAATTGCAAATGGTAAGCCCATTTCAGGTGGAAATTTTGGACTACCTTTCAAGACGTTTCGTTAATATAGAAAATTTCCCGGGTGTTCGCGCAAAAATTTTCTCACCGTTCACAGTCTGACTGAAATTTGAGGAATTTTTTTGGGTAAATGGTAAGCAACCCGAACCTCACATTCAGATGTAATGATCAAAAAGAAGTAAGCATCTTCTCTCTATTAAAAGCCCTACCTTGAGTTACCAAATGTAAATTAGTAGCCCGAGTGCTGAATCACATCATCATGTTACTTAACACGTAATGAATTATGGCTAATTTTATAAATATAAAATTTTTACACACGATCTTGTTCACCTTTAGCATGACCCAGACACATGTAAATGTTCACCAGGCGGAAGTGATGGCAACTTTGTCATGTATTCACGAGCAAGCGACGGACATGAACCCAACAACTTCCTGTTTTCTCCATGTAGCAAACAGGAAATATCGCCCGTAATCTCTTCGAAAGGACAGGAGTGTTTCATTGGTCAGTTTGCCCATATCACTAGTCTCCTTCGCAGCCATTATTACGGTCGTCACGCAACGCTTCAGGGGAGAAGTGTTGCGTGACGACCAAAAAAAGGCTGCGAAGGAGACTAACATATCACGCCCTTGTCTCGATACCTTATGTGATAAACTGTGCCCCTTGACACATTGAGAAGCGGAAAAACTCCTTGCAAGGTAAGTAAGAAAATATTACAACCCAAACGAAAGCAGAAAATATAGTGAACCAATTAAAACTAAAAGAAGCGAGGGAAAACGTGTGCGAGCAAGTCGCACCTGGCATTGTTTATTGGCTGAAAAAGTGACGACAGTGTAAAAACAATCAGTATACATAAGAAAGCTACACGAAAATACTCGAGCTACATATGAATTACTTTTGACAATCAAGTGAGAACCGATTTTGTTTATTACAAAATGAAATGGTCCATCCAGGTCTTGCCACGTTATTACTCTAGATCTGGGGCATAACGAGTGACGCAACACAAGTACCGTAAAAAAATTCTGAAACACCTTGTCATCTTTCCGAACAAATCTGCTTCTATGCTCCCTTTGGCAGCTCATAGCAGTGGCTCGTACTGCGGAAACAAGATCGTGGAGGAGGGTGAGGACTGTGATTGTGGAAGGCCAGAGGAATGCCTGGAGGTAGACAAGTGCTGTGTGGCGAGAGATGATGCCTTGAACATACCCGGATGTACGGTCAAGCAAGGAGAGCAATGCAGGTGTGTGTCACCCCGTATGTATAACTTTATAACGAGCAGCTTGCAAATCATCATCATCGTCATCATCATCATCATCATCATAACTTTGTACACTATTATTACAATGTATTGGGTCTGTACAGTTCTTCTTCAAATCCTGGGTAGCATCTGAACTGCCAGACCGTAAAGCAGTTTAACAAAAAGCCAACCTGATATGTTGCTTTGCGTATGGGCCCTGCACCTGCAGTACAGCGCCAGTCAAAACTGAGCTGTCCTACAGAAACGACACGATAACAGTCTTTTTCTTCAAAGCTAGCAAAAACTTAAGATTATGCTAAGTTGCTTTGACCTTTTCTTATGCTTAACTCAAGAATTCTGGGTTTAATTTGCCAATTAATAGCATATTTTGTTCAAAACAACACAACTATTATCCTATCTGGCGACAGCGATCGAAGAGCGGGTTGCCAAACGCTGGGAACCTAAGTTTGAAACCAAAATAATAATTCAAAAATTCAAAATTTTCATTTTTTCAATCTGGTATGGTTTTGGGAGTTATAAACCCTTTTTCTTGAATGTTTAATGCCATCTCCAGTAAGAAAAGTTGGCCGACTTCAATTTACCTTTCCAGCTAAGATGTATTTTATGTCAGGACAGTACATTTTTCCCCGCCTGCTTAAGGGGGTCTTACCTTAAAAATAAGTTATAATTTTTATAAAACAACTTTCTGGGACAGTTTTGGTACACGTTATAGGACTTCGCAGTCTGACTCTACAAAATGAGCTTTTCCAGGTCACATGCCCCGATAGTTAATGAATAACTAGCTCCTAAGTGTTAAAAAGTGGTGTTGACCATTCACACGATAACGTACAAATGAATGGTTCGAGATAATTAGGTAGCTAGGTAACTTTATTTAGACTCGTACACGTAGGGAGTGGTTGCCCAATCTCCCGAGCCAGGGGCTCATGATAGAAACTATTTACATTACTACATCATTGTACTTACAATTACTATATATATTAATAAAACGGAAATTTGCTAAGATAAGTTTAAGCAATAGAGCACTTTTTCCGTGTTTACATAGCCTCATCTAAACACAAGGAGGGTTCGGAGAATTCGAGACAGTTATGCAAAACCGAGACGTGGTCGAGGGTTTGCATAACTTTCGAGAATTCTCTCAACCCCCGAGTGTTTAGATGAGGCTATGTAAACACGAAAAAAGTGCTCTATTGCTTTTATAAAATAATTCTCAAACATACACGTGAATCTAAAGCGTCACAACTGTGTTTACATACTTCCATCTAAACACACCTATCAACCAATGAGAGCGCGCGTAGTAGCTCAGTTATTTCATAAACAGAATTAAAATATCAAATATTCCTAAAAGCAACTAGTTTTAATATTAAAAATTGGAGTTAGTATATACAGTTCATACACTGGCACCCTGCAAACTCCACACCATTCAAACGAGAACGAACTTGTGCCAAAGGGGTCAAGGATTTGTTGATAGCTGGTAACTGGTTACACATGTGGGCAATCTTATACAGAAAGGAGTTGTGCATGACAAGGCTGTTATATGGTGGTAGTACGACATTTAAGCCACTACCTCGTAAATTATCGAGAAGCATGGAATTACGTTCATTATGTCCATAAGCAAGTTGTCCAAGGGACAAACCTCAGAAAACAGTGTTTTGAGGGTTTTTTACTCGTGAGAATGGGAGAAAGGTTAAACGACTTAGGTAATTGTGTCCTTTACTATTCTCGAAAATTTGACAACATTCAGTTGAAACCCAATGGAGATATCGTGTGCAAAATATTGGTGACCTGTCTATCCGTGGATTTGGTCTTTTTGAGAAAATTATATAAGGCTTTAAAGTTTTACTTCGGTCTCAAATTAGCCCTGTGAATGGAGGGGGTGGGGGCAGAGCTAGGGGGGAGGGGCATATCGAAAGGTTTTACATAAATGTTTCATTAAATACCCAAATACACTTCGGTCACAGAAATGTGAACTAAGTATAAGGGGCGTATAAGATGGTGGAGGAAATAATGTCCAGGATCAAGATGCAAAATTCTCATAAGTACACATCTCTAAAGCTTTCCTGTAAAGTATTATTAAAATGTATTGAATTGAATCCATTTTGTAAGTGTTTTTGGACTGTAAGCAATCGTTACTATGGGTGTTGCTATCTCGAAACTATAGCTACAGTGTGCAGATTTCTTACTTTAAAAGTAAATCAAAGAGTAATTAGAGCAAAATCGTTTCAAAATACGTTTTGCAAATGTTTCGAAAAAATGGTTTTTTTGGAGAAAAATTTATATCTGAGGGTACAAGATCCCCGTAACCCTGATTGGTCAATTCAAATTTTAGTCACACCGGCCATTTGCAAGGGTGGAAAGAGCTGTTCTAGTTGATTTCCATGAAGCTTTTGTTTTTCACTGACCTCTATCAAATAAATAAATAAATAAATAAATAAATAAATAAATAAATGACTTTTTATTTAAGTGTCAAATGTATTTAACGCTGTTGTGCTAATTGGGGACGACATTGTTAATAAATAAACAAATATTACAAATGAAACATAAACCTTTGTTTCTCTTTTCAGTTCTGTTGCCGGGGAGTGTTGCACTGAACAATGTACCCCAAAATCCAAAGCTCGTGTGTGCCGAGCAGAAACAGAGTGCAGCCTGGAAACTACTTGTGAATATCCCTTGATAAGATCACGAAGAAAAGTTCCATAAATGAGACAGTAAGCCAAATTTGACCCAAAATAAAACACAAAGTGTTTGAGATTTATCCAGTCTGGTTGACAAAAAGCCGATTTTGAACGTGACGGAAATCGTTCCTGATAACTTATAAAAATAGGTTTAGTGCTAGCACTAATCATGGGTTAAGCTTGTTCAATAACTATTTGCACGCCAGGCAGACGGGTGTGAACCGCGTTTCAGCGCTTGACATCAGATCGAAGAGGCACTTTGGCCTCATAGTTAATGCGCTCGACTCCCGATCGAGCAGTCCGGGTTGGTGTCCAGGCCGGGGACATTGTGTTGTGTTCTTGGGCAAGACACTTTATGCTCCCAGTTCCTCTCTCCACCCAGGTGTTTAAATGGGTACCGGCAAATTTAATACTGGGGGTAATCTTGCGATGGACTAGCATCCCATCCAGGGGGGAGTAGAAATACTCCTAGTCTCTTCGTGCTACAGAAACCGGGATAAGCTCCGGCCTGATAGGCGACTTGGCTAGTATCCAGACTTAACCTTACACCGGATCGAGCAGCCTGGGTTCCAAGCCTGGCTGGGATTGTTGTGTTGTATTCTTGGGCAAGACACTTTACTCTCACAATGCCTGTCTCCACATAGGAGCTGGAGAAGAGAGGGGATATCTGCAATGGACTAGCATTCCATCGCAGGGTGGGAAGGGGGAGCGGGGAAGAGGCCAAACTCCTGGCAGTTTCATGCTTAGTGTCGAGGTTTATAGGCCTTTCTGGAGTGATGTGATTTTCTTTAATATATCAAACTGGTATGAGTGGACGTTGTCCTGAAGCGGAGTCCAAGCCAAGCAATGTGACATGCAATGGAGGATCAAACACATGTCTCCATGGCAGCTGTACTGGTTCAATATGTGCACTATATGAGACCACTGAGTGTGAATGCTACCAGAACAAAGACGAAATGTGTCATGTTTGTTGCAACAACAGTCAGGTGAGTGACAAGGATTTGCAGTCTTTCAAATTGATATCGCTTGAAGAGACATTTTTACGCCTATAGCTGATGACTCTACCTGGCTCTCATTTTGTGTAATCTCAAACTAATATAGCTGAACAGAGGTGAGAAACACTTTTCCGTTCATTTGTTCTTTGATCCCGGTTGAGTTTAGTTCTTGTTTGTTCGTGCCTCTATAATCATTTCTTCGTTGTCTTTTACCTATGCTATTATAATTAAATCAGAGCGGTTTACATTTTAACATCAAAACTATTGCTTTTGCATTACTGCGCTCAGTGATTGGTTAAAAAGAAACTCGCGCAACTTTTTTAAACCAATCAGGAGTAAAACCAAAACCAATATTGAATCCAACTGTCGCTTACACATGTTTTCCCGCGCTTCGTAGTTGCTTCGAATTTTGATTGGTTCACTGGATTTTCTGTATCTTTATGATTGGCTAGAGTGAGAACTTGTTATTTTTGATTTTACAATACTCAGTGATATAGATTTAATCAAGCCTAAAAGCAGAGCTCCTGATTACAATAAGTTAGCCATAAAGGAAAAAAAGGATTTGTTTTTCTTGGATCAGATACCCGTTGAATTGTTCGGCGTGTGGTTTCACATGCTTTTTCCAGTTAAAAACTTAACAAAAAGGAGACTATCAAATATAGCGCATCCAATTTTGTAAAAGTTACGTAAACGCAAAGTATTAGCGACTTTCCAGGAAACGATTATGCAAGGAATATTTTAGAAGAAAAGTAATCAACGCACCAGGCGTTAATTTGCGCCGAAAAATTGTCTTCGTACGTATCTCCTCCCTTGCCCCCAGAGTAATATCAGTAACTTGAGCTTGCGATCCAATCTTCCGTGGGACCTCGAGCTCTAAAACTGCGCCCGCGATATGATGACATGATACTGATCAGCGGATACTTTATTTTGAAAGCTGTCAATTGACTATAACATGGATGTCCATGAAATATCAAAGATTTACCTATGGTTATGGTGCTACTCTCTTTTAGTTTTCAAGGTATGGGGCTCGGCTCGGCGCGCGTAGTGCAAGTGTCGTGCAGAAGTACTGACAATCACGTGAGAACCAGTTTTTCTGGTTCCGCTCGTGCGCCCTCGGGGCGCAGGGCTAGAGCTCCGCTAAAAACTGCTCTCTTGACTGATTTGGAATCTCATCTATAGAATCTTCTCTTTCGCTTTTGGGAGGGGCTGCTCGTAGTCCTTGAGTATTCACGGGAAAAGGCCGACGATATTGCAGTACAACAACGTTTTGTTTCCATTGTATTGTCATTGAATACTTTGACGCGAACCGTTTTCTTATTCTCAGGGCGAGTGCGTATCAGCTCAGGAGTTCCTGGGTCGAGTCGTTCTCAAGCCTTCCGGGAGCACTTGCAAGTCTCACCAGGGTTACTGTGACTCATATGGTGTATGTGTCATTGTGGACAATGAAAGTGAACTTAACAAACTCAGGGACACTTTCAGGGGATTCTTCGCTAAGACGGCCATGAGTGACATAACAAACTGGATAAAGAGACACTGGTAAGTCTTGCGCCTTCTGGTTTTGTTAGGTTTCACTGCAGTAAAACTTTGTGGATCATGGCCGATCAAGACAAAGATAAGTAAAACTTTCCAAAAGTTTTATTTGCTGTTTCATAAATAGATTCTTTAACTGAATTTCGTAATACAGCTCGGTCCCGGTATAAAGTCTTTAACAGGAACTAATGCACTTTTCATCATCTGGACCATTTGAACATACACAATAAAATCTTGCATTATCACGCACGACGCAGGACGCACGAGCCACGAACCACGAGCCACGAGCCACNCGAGCCACGAGCCACGAGCCACGAGCCACGAGCCACGAGCCACGAGCCACGAGCCACGAGCCACGAGCCACGAGCCACGAGCCACGAGCCACGAGCCACGAGCCACGAGCCACGAGCCACAATCTGCCGTTCATAAGCCATTTTTCTTCAAAGTGGCACATGAAAATATCAGCCAAAACTGGGTCTAATGGTGAACCCAAGGCTACACCATCAATCCGATCGCAGTAATGAGTCAAAAATGACCATCAAATATAAAATGGATCTTCTTAGTTTCAAACTCTGATAGATTCTGCTAAACAGAACGAGGTAATTGCGGAGAATCTGGGAGAGAATACAATCTGTTTTGAAAAATACGTGTTGTTTTATCAAGTGGTACATTTGTAAATAGAGGTGACATCCAAAGAGCTCATCAGAGCAGATTCTGTCCTTCACTTTGGTTCAGATAAGTTGATGACGCCTTCACAGTGTTTGGCAGCAAAGACAATGCTACTGAGTTTTTAAGTATCCAAACGGTCGGCACGATAACATCAAATTGACCATCGATTAAAGAAAACAATAAGATTCCATTTCTAGACATCCTTGTCAAACGCTGCCCTGACAACACTTTCTTGACATCTGTCCACCGGAAGAAGACATTCACAGGCCTCTACACCAAGTGGGATTTATTCACACCTCGCAAGTACAAAATCAACCTCCTCCGCACACTCACCTATCGTTGCTTCCAAATTTGCTCCTCACTATCTTTGTTAAAGCCGCATATATATAGAATTGACTTGACTAAAACCCTTTCACCCCATGGGGGGCATAGATCCTGAGGAAGTCTCTCCATCCCTCTCTGTATTGTGACTGTCTCTTTAACTGTTGCCAGTTGAAGTCTGCTTCTCTCATCTCCCCCTCCATTGACCGTCGCCAGCTGTTCGTTGGCCTCCCTCTGTTCCGCTTCTGCTGTGGGTTCCATCTCAAGGCAGGCTTGTTGGTGTTGGTATTTGGTTTGCGCGGAGTGTGACCCAGGCAACCACAGCGTCTTCTCTTGACCTGCAATTCCATTTTCTCTTGTCCTGTTGTTTGCCATAGGTCTTCGTTTGAGATGCTATCCGGTCAATAAATTTGTAGAATTGATCGGAGACACCGGTCTGAGTCTTTCTTGAGGTGGCTTTGGTTGTTCACCGGGTCTCAGAGCCATCTAAGAGATCAAAAAGGCAATAAAACATCTGAAAGTAAGTAACGCTCCTGGCGTGACCCGATGGAAAACCTCCAGAAACCATAATGGCAATATATAGATTTAGCCAAGCCTAAAAGCGGAGCTGCTATTACAATAATTTAACCTGGTTTGAGCCTGCGATCCAGTACCCTACCTAGATCTTCACAGTACCCGAATCACAAAACGTTTGAAATACTGTGTATACAACTTGTACTCTTACTCATTTTTCTCAGTCTAGGTTCCAGATTAGTTTTCAAAAATTTGTAAGGGTCTTTTTTGAAGATATATGTTGACTAGCAAGCGAAACGTCAAGCTCTGTAATAAAATGCGTTGGAATACAATGCTTATCATCGCTGTTTGTGCTATATTCCTAATCAGGATAGGTTCATGTATCGTAACTCCTTGCTTTAATTTAACCGCAAAGAACAATGAATGGTCCCTATCAATTTTCTGTTTATCGTTATCACGGCCTATGGACGATACATGTTTTAGCTACCCTTGAGCGACGGTGGTATTCATTTATGGTTAGAAGTATTGGTGCCCCATTCTGCACAACGCAGCACAGTGGGTGATTGTATAATTCCCATTATTACACTTCTAGAAGAGACAATGTCCCCCCTCCCCCTATTAGTACTTCGTTGAAATACTGTTTTCGAAATTTACCAAGTGACTCGACGTGGAATAGCCTGCGAGCGCTTCCAGTTTTTTCGGCTCCTGGTTCACGCGCCGAGCAAAGCGAGACCCGAAGAAAGCGGATGCTCTCACAGGCTACATACAACTATGGCTGTTTTTCGTACTTCCTTGTTATTAAACTTATAATACTGTGGAGCTTTAGGCATTATGTAGATTATATGACAAGAGTTCAGGGCGGAAAAACGTAATAAGCAAGCGCGAGTTTTGGCCGTGCGCAGGCTCCAAGTTTGAAAAAAAGGCGGGAATTTCTTCAATCGTGTAAGCAAAACAAGTTACGAACTTTATATGCTTTCTCAATTTTTTTGGTAAGCAGCAACACTTTTAACGTAATTAATGGAAAGCTGGTGTATTGTTTTCGTGGGGAGTCAATTTTTTCGGACAAAAATTGACCTAAAGAAGGTTTCTGAGCTCGGCGGTACACAAGCTCTAAACCTAAGCCCGCGATATGGTCACGTGATACTGGTCAGTGGATACCTTGGTTATACAGCTGTCAATTAATCTTAGCATGGATGTCCAATATCAAAGATGTACCTAGGGTAATGGTGCCACTCTCTTATTTTTCAAGGTATTGGGCTTGGCCTACGAACGTACGTAAGGACGTATGGACAGTCACATGACAACCCAAACTTTTGAGATGGATAGGTTACTAAATTTTTGAAAGTATATGGGGCTCCTGGAGCTCTGCTATAAATAAGTCAACCTAACGACATCCTCGCATACTTTATTAGTAGTCCGCCCTTCTTTCCACCATTGCAGTCGCATTATTACCTGAGCCCGCAAGTAGGGTTAGAGATGCGCAGAAAGCTGCGCAGTACGTTTTTCCATTCTGAGTGACAAGATATCGCTAAATTCAGTAGGTTTGTATCGGCCGCACAAGGCTGAGGAGGATTGGGATGAGTCAAAAACGTGGACTGAGGGAGTGGTGGAGAGATTTCTTCTAATAGCAAATCTGATGTGTTTCAGGTATTACGTCCTAGTGATAATCGGCAGCATTTGTTTGGTTGCCATTGTTCTCCTCAAGTTCACTTCCCGAGGACGAAAATATCTCCAGCTTGCAAGGCAAGCTATTTTGCCACACATCGTCCAGAATCAGCAGCATGTACGTGTAAGAACCCCAGAATTTGTTGATGCCGAGGGGAACTTTGCTATCATTATCATTATCATTGTCATTGTCATTGTCGTTGTCGTTGTCAGTTTCATTGTTGTTGTCGTTGTCATTGTCACTGTCGTTGTCGTTGTCATTGTCATTGTTGTCGTCATTATCATTGTCATTGTCGTTGTTGTCATTATCATTGTCATTGTTGTTGTCGTTGTCATTGTCATTATTGTTGTCATTGTCATTGTCTTTGTC